CCGCAGGTTGCCGACCTGTGGTATAGATCTTATGTATAAAAAATGCCCCCCATAGAATAATTTTATCCTGAATAAAGAAAAATTAAATTACTTCACATATGTTTTATAATACATTCTTGTTAAATTTCTAAAAATGCAAATAGTTTCCACAGTTCAAATTCTCACAAGTATTTTACTTAAGAGATAGACATATTTCCAATCAAAACCAGCTTTTACTATTATAGTTGTCTAGTTACTGTTATAATTTTGGTGTCAATAAAAATCTTTATGGCTTTTGCAAAACGTTTTCCATTCTAACTAATTTCTGCTCAAGAAATAAATTCTCTCTAAAGATCAAACTTATTCTCTCTAGTATGCACTCTCAATATATCTACAACAATTGCTTGTCCTAAACCTTAACAAATATTTGCTGTACAAAAATAATCATCCTAAAGCCAAAGATTCCTTGATTTAGCAGAAGCAGCCTTAATTTCCTGCATATTTAGTCACATGGAATTAAATGCAATTAATGTTACACTGTAAAACTACAGATAAATACCTGCTAGTTCTATATATTTAAATGAATTCTACTTACAGAATGCTATGACAATCTTAAAAATCAAAAGACAAGAAATTAGTTTAAAAACTGCTTTAGGAGTTTTAACTTTAAGTGATCTTAATCTAAATGTCTAATATTACACAATGGTTGAGGGAGTTTAAGTAAAAATATCACACTATGATTTTTTTACATTATGAATAATAACAATATCATCGCAAGAGTTACTTGAAAACAAAATTGAATGAATATGCTGCGAGGTGAGAAAAGCATAATGGAATTTAATATGGCGTTTTTGTACAGGTGGAATTTTGGAAATTATTATAATCACATGGGTTTAAATGGAATGCATATTGGTTTGGCTCAAACTGCAATTGGGTAGAGCTTGATCCTTTTTGAAAAAGGAAATTTTTGAACTACAATCTACTGGATAAAAAACTTGGCATCACTGTATGCCAATGTATTTACATTGTTGTCAATCTTGCAGAATGTAATTCTAACCTAATTCTACGATACAGCTAAATATAATTGTATATGTTTATATAATTTCCCCAAAGTCCTATTTTATGAAAATGTAAAGGAGAGAGCAATTGTTTTCACAATATTAGGACATACTAGGTCTTTAGGCAACTATAGATTTATTTCATAAGGAAATTACTGACTTTACAAACATTTGTTGAATACAGGAAGTCCCCAGATAATGAACCTCTGGATTACGAACAATCCCTAGGTACAAATGGACTACTTGCAGTACTCAAAATGGTGGACAACCAACCAATCTATTTCAAGAAAAGAAAGGTAGGTGCACTGCAGGAGAGGAGGCTATGGCTGAACAGCGTAGGATCATCTACTGCTCCTTCATTGCATTTCCAAGTCCAGCCCCCTCCTTGGTTCATGCTTTGCACACCTCCATGCTTGCATGTATACATCTCCCACTTCTGCCTGAGGTCTGCATGCAGTCTGCGCTGTTTTCAGCAGTTCATAATAAGATGACATTTGATTAAATAACTTTTTAAATACAATTTTAGCTTAAGGACAGAGTTAGAAAAAGAACTCGTCCTTAACTTAGGAAATTGTTCTAAACAAAAGGAATTGCAGAATATTTCAGTACCTTCTCCGAACATCTAGATGGGCTCAACTGGTGGTCAGTAGAGGACATTTCATTTAGTACATAAATATATCTTGTTTTTAGTCATCAAGATTTGGCACTAATTCAGGAGAATTTAATTTTCTTCCAGCTATCCAACAGGTTATTATTACAATTTCAAAAGTACTTTCTATGCAACACCTGAAAAATCAAGTGATGTAGTACAAGAGTAGCAGGTAAATTTTGCAAAATAGTCACTGTGCTAGAGCAAAAAGAAAAATGCCAAAGTTAAACAAAATCAAACAGTAATAGGTAAGAAAAAAGACCTGCAGAAAACAAAGTACTAAAATTCCTAGATTCTTGCATTGTATAATCAACAATGGGAGCAGCGTTTTTTGAGCATGCATTCCAAATTGGAGAAGAGATTCCTACCAAATTTGACCTCTAGAAATTTTTACATGAAGGTAGGACCAGACACAGATGTGTGAATCAAAGAAACTGCAACGAAGAATTTAAACTCCATACTTTAGTTTAATGTCCAGATTCTGCCATTCTATAATTTAAATAAAATACTAATAAAATTATGAACACATAATTATTTAATGGAAGAAATATCTTCTCAAATCACATTAATATTTGGGAATTATTCTTTCCTAATTATGTTCCCAATATTAAAGATACAATTAGCAGGACAGCAAAAAGTAGAGAACTAATAGTAATTTTTTTAAAGCTCTTAATATTATAAATTTGCTAATATAGCCAAATTTAAAAATTATATATTAATATGAAATGTGTTGAAGTCCACATGCCTTAAAATTGTCAAGGTTGAGAAACACTGGCTTAGAATATGGCTTATTTTTATTTTAAAAAATGAATGTAAAAATTTATGTTTGATGAAGAAGCAAATATCTGTCATACATAATAGCCAGAATATCCAAATCATAATTAATAGGCTACTGTGTTCTTTAACCATATGCATGTTCCAGAAGGTGGTGCTGGGAGACTATTCTTCAACCATGATTATCTCTGCGTTAGGGGGTCAAACTTATCTTCAAAGTTTTTCCAGTTTCATAAAAAATTTAAATATTTTTTTCAGAGCTATCCATCATTGCTAGTATGTATCATTACTGGATAGTATTAGTTTGTAGTTCTCATTAGATCAACGTTCAAATTGTACCTAGTGGCTAAATTCCAGCTCTATATAAGTAAGCAAAATACGTATTTTTAGAATCAAGGATATATGAAATGTTGGATCATCTATCTTAGAAAATAATCTTTCTATTGAAAGTAGAAGATAATAACTATGAAGTTGTTTTGGATATAACGTTTGTCTAGAATCAAATGAGAACATATGAACAACTCTGGTTACCTCATTCATAACTAGATAAGGAATTTGCTATAGTATTTCAGGTAGACCTTGACTTACAGTCAGCAACTTAGTAACTGTTGAAACGTTGTTCCCCCTCCCCCCCAATCTTGTGACCAGGCACACAGCTCACAGCAACTGGTATGCATTTATGGCTGTTTGCAGCATATCACAGTCACAGCATTTACTTAGTTACTTCTAAATATCATTTGCTTAACAATTACCACAAAAAGGTCATAAAATTGGACCAGCCACATGACCAACTTGCTTTACCACCACCATGAATTAAAGCTGTGATGGACATGCTCCATTATGGTCATAACTTGAGCATGTCCATCCTGATTATTACAGGCCTACCAGTACATAATTTGACAACTTCTAAAGAGTATTAAATCATGCTGAATGTGGAGCTACGTACGATAGGTTAAATTAAAATATTGCTGACTAGGATTGTATATAAAGCACTATTGTCAATTTTAGGAGAATTTTAATGAGTTTTACATTGTTTCCAAATCAAATTTAAACCTGCTGGTCTTAAATGTGTAAAGCCCTAAATAATGTGGATTCTAAGTATTTGACAGAATGCTTCTTCTTGCATGAATAACAAAACTATGGAAGGAGGTATGATGGATATCAAGCAAGTCATGCTTTTGCAATTTTCTGAATCTCCGCTAGCTCCAATTTTCTAGATCTCCTTTTTGAAGAACAGATATTACTTAACTCAGTCTGCATACTTGGTTCTAATAAGAGAACATAAACTTTGTACTGCTGACTTTTAAATGGTTGTTTATATTATTACAGGGGTGTCAAAATGCCGCCCCGCAGGCCGGTTGCATCATGCGGAAGCCGCGCCCACTCCATTGCCGGCAATGGCAAAACTGTCCTGATACGCTGCGCGACGTCATGTGACATCACGAGTTTGACATTTCTGTATTATTGCTTGTAAGTTTTGGTTATCATTCTGTTATACTTTTATAGACATTTGCCATGATTGTACTTTAATGTGAAAAATGCAAAATTGAGAAGCAGCTTAGAAACTAAATGCTTTACTGTCAGTATCAATCAAAATCTTCTTGAACTCCAAATTAAATTTAGCAACCTAAAAAATTAATTATGTCAGAAAATTCTATGTGAGAGACAAAACAAATAGGAACTAAAAACTGCAATAAAGTGTACATTATTTTTCAGATATTATACAAATTTACACATGCAACATGTGGACGATATTATAAGAAGGCAGTTGGAACCAAGTGTTTTGTAAATCACTGGTTTAAAAATTGCATTATCGCCATGCTAAAAACATGTCTGAACTGATATATAATCATGTGCAACTGTTCTTATCAAAACTAATCACTTCATCTTCAATTTTTTTATACAGTTCACTGCTACCTTTCTCCACCACATCAAACACTTGCCAAATATTCTCAGAATACTGAAAAGCAGTATGCAATTCAAAAGTTTATGTAAATAGCAAACTATAAATAGGCTTGCATGCTCTTTTTGTGTGTGTTTACATTAGCACATTCTTGACTTTTCTCTGAATCAAGCACTTCAGACTTATTTTATGTACAGTAACTGCCATAAATGGCTATAAGCTAAATACAAAGATCTAGCAGACTTTAAAAAAGAAAGTAGGAAAAGGTACATGTTCAACCAGCTCCCTTCATACAATACACAAAGCAAAGATTCAGAATAGTTCCCAGTTTAGAAAAAAGAAATCCTAGCTTGTTCTGATCCTATGTTATCTTCAGAATTTTCGAAAAAGAGCTATGCGTCCTCATCTATATATACCATTCCAAAATCAGCTAATGATCCAAAAAGCACTAGTGGCTAACCATCTTTTATATGGTTAAATGATAGCAAAATGCTGAAGATTTTTCAATTATATTACAAGATTCAATCTGGGCAAAAACAAATGCAAGCATCCAATATGAAATATGTTACAGGAAACAGCTTTTCTATTCATCCCAAGACCATTCATCCCAAGATCATATTATTGGATGTTACAGTACCTGGCTGGTTTGTGGACTGGACGGGTCATAAGAATAATTCTTCAAAGTATCCTGAGGATTCAGGTGAGGAGGATATCGGATAGTTGGATGAGAGAAATAGCTAGATGGGGCAGGAGGAAGAATAGCTTGTGGTGGAAATGGCAATGGTGAAGGTGGAGGTGGAGTTCTAGTTGAGATGACTAGAAAGAAAGAAAAATACAAGTTATTGAGGATCTTTTTAATAATAAAATTCAGCACATAAGACCGTAAAGAAAAATCTAAATCAAATTATATGAAATTATTTATTTTCTTTCCATCCTCCCATTTTTAACCTACAACCTTTTGAACCACTAGTCCTTTATACTCCAAGTGTCTCAGGAGATAATTATTTCTTTAGTGCAGCAATTTTGCTTTATTGTGCATATTTACTTTATTGTGCATATTTCTGCACAGAGAAAGCACTGCATTTCTGAAAATATATTTCAGTTATCCAATACGATCTAAAACCAAGGCAAATAAATTAAATTAAAACTATAAAACATTTTTTACTGAACGTTAAGAGACAGAGTCTGAAGAAACAGCAAATGATCCAACAATACTTTCCGCTATACCCTAGCTAATGCATGGGAGAGGGTGGGAGGGTGGAGAATAATTACTAAGCAATAACACCACGAATAATTAGCAAGCCATTGTGAAAATGGTAATGAATGTTCAACTTAAGGGCCTGGGAAAATCTTTCACTCAAGATCAGCATCTCTCTGAACAAAAAGGCTATCATATCCCATACAGATTTTTTTTCCTTGCATTTCTCTAGCATGAGATTCTGTGCTAAATCTAAAAACCTAGCAATGTCCTCAGCAATAAAAGGAATGTACAGAATACTTTGTTATTGCATAGTTAGCATCTCAGAGATGGCAGATGCATTATAATTCAATCACTAATATCATTTCATTTATATGTAAGATATATTGTGTGATAAAAACATAAACAAGAAATGGGGAGCAAAAAATGAACAAATGTTATCATATTGATATTGTCATATGGACAATAAATAAAGCTTTAATAAAGTAATTAATATACCCCCCATCTCACTCTGCAAAGCAATGCTTTAGTATTGCTTTACAATAGGGTATAGCTTTACAACCATATTTCACACAAATTATTTTTTAGTTTACTAATATATTTCTCTGTTATGATGAGTGGTATCTTCACTGCTTCTAGCTTTAATATTGTACAAGTCATTTTGTCTCTATCATTACTTAGGCCAGGGATGATTCTGATCAGGGCCTAAAAGCAATATACTCTAAATAAAAATTCTGCCTTACAAAAGACTTACTTCAAACTTGAGGTTAATGCAGAACGTATTGTATAATGTATAATGTATTTTTTATGTTCCACTTTCATCTACTTTTTCCCTTGGCTAAATTGTTTTTATAACCCATCCAAAAGTAAAAATAATCTTAAGTCTTTCCTTTTATCCCCACAACAATAAAGTTGGGGCAAGAGTGAGTGACTGACCCAAAATCCCCAGTGAATGGGTTAAACAGGGAGTAGGATTAGGTCTATCCAGTCTTATCCAATGCTTAAACTTCTGTTCTGAAGGATATCCTCTTTCACAATGGCAATTATGGGTTTGGCCAAAAAAAAAAAAAAAATTGGCTCAATCAAAAGACCACGAAGTTCAAATGCTCTCAAGCTTTACATTGCTAAACAACAGTTCATCTGTAGGGGCTTTCATAAAATCTGAAAATGAAAGGACAAATTCTTCTTCTTAAATTATATTTGGGACCTGCCATGATTTGAATAAGCAAATGATAACAAAACCTTAGCACAAGGCCAGGAAAATTCAGATTGACTGGCCAATGAAAATCCATTTACTCCTCTCATAAACATGACTGTGGAGAAAATTCAGTATCAGAAGAGCCCTTGATATAAGGGCTGTAATGATGTCACTTCAGTTCAGAGAAAGGCCTTCCTATTATTTATCTACCTCTTAAATGATACGCTTACACAGCTGAAAATTTGAAGATTAAAAAAGACTTTCATTAAAGAACACTATAAGCTGCTAATTAAGGTCTTATTCCTTTTCCACACTTAAAGGAGAGAGAAAAAACCAAACTGTTTTCTTGAAATATCAACATATATCAATGACACTTCCTTTTTTTTATTAAAATAAGCATGTCCCCAGACATTTTAAAAAGGACTAAAATCAACTGTGGCAAAATAAAATCTCAAGTAAAATGCTTTTTACATTTTTACAAATAATAATGTCTAGCTAAAGTTCAAAGATTTCCAGGAGAAAGGGCAATAAATAATAGATAATAGGACATCTTCACCATACTTATGGAGCTAAACTGTTTGAGACCATCATATTTGACACATCTTCCAGAGTAAGCAAAAAAGAATAGAGCTTTATCATTATAAAATTCCATATTTATTTCATGAGGTTACAGAATCAATGCTATCAATACCATGTGTTTATCTGGCTGCATGAACTAATAGTGCTCAAGTAAACTACATAAGGGAAGCAATGTGGAAGAGGAAGAAGGAAATTGAATAGATTCATCTTATAAAGTGAGCTCTAGGACAGTGTTTCCCAAACTTGACAATTTTAAGGCATGTGGACTTCAACTCCCAGAATTCCACAGCCAGCGTTGCTGGCTGTGGAATTCTGGGAGTTGAAGTCCTCATGCCTTAAAATTGTTAAGTTTGGGAAACACTGCTCTAGGAGATGGCTACACCAGTTCATTCTTTGCAATATAGCCATATAGCTACTCCACTGGAATAAAATATCTAGAAAGGCCTGAAACCATGGCTATACCATTGAGGCTGGGAATCTGGCAACATGGATATGAAGCCTACAAAGTGGCTGCATTGCTAGTGAAATTGAATGTGCTTTCCTGTAGATCATGTTTTTTACAATGATTTCATTGTTTTTAATGGTTTTAAGTTGTTACTTTTTGGGTGATTTTGTTGCTTTGGTATTTTTTTAACTCTGTTCAGAGTCCCATATCAGATGGGCAATTATAAAAATATACTAAATAAATAAATAAAGATATAAATAAAATAATTATTGCCGCTATCTTGCTGATCTGATACTGAACATCAAATTAAAGTTGTTGGGTAAATAGTTTAGTTGCACATGTAGGCTGCCTTCAGGTTTTACAATCACTATGATAAAAATATAATTTATAAATTTGATAGTAAATAAATACAGCAACATATTGGAGAATTTTTAGATAGCCGTCAAGGGTAAAATCCTGCTTGAGCTATCCCAATAAAAATGCTAAGTGTTTTGTTCCACATTCAAAATATAATTTTGTTCAATTTGCGTACACTTCTGATGATAAAGACAAGTCTTTTTTCTATTCGCAAAGCTTTTAAAAATATGTTAGAAGTCTAAAAGCACAAATGTAGTGTTTCACTACGACTGAAATAAATTAAAAATTGAATGTTTCTTAGTCATTGGTCAATCTTTTATCCTATATAGTTGACTTAATAGAATAAATTCTACCTCTTTTTAGCATTCCCCCAAATCCGCTTAAATAGCTATGTAACAGACAAATGACTGTCAACCCACTGCCAAACTGCTGCTCCAGTTAGGAAGCTAATCTACCTTTCTATAGTTTGAATCTATTATTCTACAACCTTCACAAAATAAGAAAGACCTTGAACTTCTCTGATGTGACATCTTCTCAGGTATTTAAAGCATGCTACCATGGCCTCTTCAGCTGTCTTTTTCTAACACTAAAGATAACAACCCCCCTTATCAGCTTCTCTGAAACTGTTTCAACTTCAGTGAATCCCTGTTATGCCCAAAACTGAACACAATTCACAAGGTGGAATCTCAAAAGTACCATTAGTTCACAATGTAGTAATTAAATAAATGGTTGGAATGACTTCCTGTGCATTTATCACACCTGTGTATAATACTGAGTCAGACTCAAAGTATTGGAATGACTATGGAAAGCCCCAAACGTGACTTGACAGAACTTTGTCCATTATATCAGTTTCACAGGAATTTAAGAGCTGCAGGGAAGGTTTAGCTTTTAATGTGCCAAAGCTTACTATCTTACCAGAGACACCTGTCTTCCTTTCCACAATACATCATCTCTACAATGGCCTATTTAAAAGCCAAGGCAACACTAGATCTCATGATCTCCCGGTTTCTAGCCTGATGCCTTAACCACATCAAACTTGTTCAATGTGCTTTTATTATACTATTTTTCTGATTATTCACAAATAGTTTTAATAACAAATATATATTGTGTGTACGAATCCCGGGCATATTTGTTCAATGATGCAATCTTCGATCTCCGGGAAGAGTATATATTATTTTAATAACAAATATATAATGTATACACACACACACACACACACACACACACACACACACACACTTTTAACAATACATAAATTTCTTATTCAAATCCTAAATATATTCCCAGGACAACAGAGGAATTTCATTTAAATGTCTCTTAAAATGAAGAGAACAATAATGTACCAATCTGAGTGCACATGTATTATGATATATCTAGCTACATATCAATTCATAACTGAAATGATTGTCCTGTTTGAGATTATGCCTCTCATGACCTAAATAAAACTCCTCTGGATGTGATAGAACGGATGTCTCTTCAAACGTGATACTGTTTACATTAGCTAAAGAAATATAGTTCAGCTGAAGCAAGAGAAATTTTCCAAGCAACCATAGAGCAGTGGTGGCGAATCTATGGCATGCGTGCCAGAGGTGGCACTCAGAGCCCTCTCTGTGGGCATGCGCACCATTGCCCCAGTCCTAGGCTTTCAGCTGGGTTTTATAAAACCTTTTTGCTTCAGGTCTCCACTGCCATGTGCAAAAAAAAAAAAAACAAAAAGGTTCAATCAGTCAATTTCAACTTCTCACGGGAAAAAAAAGATCTTGCAAAGTTGGAATTCATTGATTGGACTTTTTAGTCCCACCCAGTCTGTTGTTACCACCGTAGCCACGCCCACCCAATGGGCCATGCCCACCCAATGAGCCACACCCAGCCAATGGGCCACACCCACCCGGCACTCGATGATGCATAAGTGGGTTTTGGGTTGCAGTTTGGGCACTCGGTCTCTAAGGTTCGCCATCACTGTCATAGAGTATCTGATATAATTTTGAGTTATATGCTGAATTAACATTACGTTTGCCCAACTTTCCTGCATTTCTATCACTTTTGTTTCCTCACCACTGTGTGCAACTCCTGGGATTCCTGGATGATGATGCTGGAAAGTCAGTCTTGGTGAAGAATCCTGAGGAGATGTAGTGCTAAACAAAGGCTTTTCAGGTTTCTTCATTGTAGGAGAAGACATATCTGCAATGGCATACAACATAACATAGCCATTAACCCAACATCACAATCATGATTCTAGATAATTGTTTATGCTCTTTAAGCAGTAACAGTTCCTAGGTTAGTGACTAAAATGCACTGCATTAGAAAACACTAAAGGGTTTGCATTAATTTAGATGAACATTTATAGACTTCCTTTAGTAACCATCAAATGAAATCCTAAGACATAAGAGATGTTATCACCATCATTCTTATGCAGTCGTTATATAAGATTTGCACACCTCATATTTACAAAATAAAGTCATACACACATACATATGCACACGCACACACTTGTTTTAACAAATGCTTATCTACATCAGTAATTCCACTGTTAGTGACAGCTATTCTTTTGAATATATAGCTATATTTATTTCATAAAGGTATATAATTTTCCTCTCCCTATAGTTCGGTTGACATCTTGTCAAAAAAAATTTGACCTTATATGTTTAAAATTGCACTATTATATAGGTTAGGACTGCAATAAATGAAGAGTTGGACTTGAGTAGAAATATTTAAGAAGACAAAAGTGTATGTGAGAAGACTACAATAGATATACAGTGACTGAAACAGAGGCAGGGGGCATAGTTAAATGAATGCTAGCAAAACTAAGGATGAATACTTTGCAGCTTGGTCTCAGCAACCACTTTTAATATGTATGTACCGTATTTCTTTAAAACATTTAACAGAAAGGTGCCAAAAATAGTATTCAACTGGGTTATCCTGTAATTATTTATAATTATACAATTTTTTTCCAAATGGTTTCTTCTCAATAATGCCGATTTTGATGAGCCAAATTCCCTGTTAAGTTTTTACTGAGTTTGCAATAAGCGTAATTTGATTCCAAACCTCCTCCATTTTTAAGGAGAGAAGACAAAGATATCTAGCAAGTTTTGAATAGTGATTCCTAGAATCTGAACATTATAATTTACAATTTTTCTTGGCTTACTGTACTTCCTGCCTTAATTGCACTTCCAGTCTTCACCACATATTAATTGAAGACCGTTTCATAGATTGACTGATTGATTGATTGAATTTATTTACATAGCCACTCATTTCACAATATTAACTCAAGGCAACCTACAACAGGATCATTCTGAGGTTTGCCAAAGACCATTTGAGAAGATTATAAATCCCTCAGAAAAAGTAAAAATATGAAGTTACTAAGAAACATCTCCATCATTATTACAAAGACTGCTTAGCCATTCGTTACTGCTTAGTTGTTTAAGTAACAAAAATTATAAATGACATAAATAAAACAATTTCTCCCAAATAATTTTCTTGGAGGTGATTTTTTAAAAAATTAACAAATAGAGAGGATGGGACATATATATTTAATTCTCTATTCATCTATGAAATCTGCCTCAGTCAAGTCAAGTCTAGCTCTCTAGTTTTCTCTTTCTCTTCCTGCCTAATCTATCTGTTAGAGCTTCTCTAAAGTTAACAGAATTGCCTCAGTGAGATATATTTTCTTCTGCAGGCAGTTTAGTCTAGTGGTTAAGACAGGAGTATCAAACTGCCGGTCCACAGGCCAGCTGCATCATGCGGAGACCGTGCCCCCCAGTTCCGGCAAGCCATGTCACGTGACGAGTTTGACACCTGTGAGTTAAGATATTGCAGTAGAAGGAATTTGGATTCTACTTCTGTCTTAAGCTTGGAACCCAACTGAGTGACCTTGGGCCAGGCCAGTCACTCTCACCTTTTAGCCCTAAGAAGATAGCAATGGCCAACTACTTCTAAAACATATAGCAGGAAAACTGCAATAACTTTTCTATGAAGCCAAGACTGATATAAAGGACCAAAAAAATAAATAAATAGCTTTCACATTTTCTTAAAGTCCATTTTATAAGAAGCTACTTGAAAAGATTTAACTATTTGCTTTTCATATAATGATTCTTTCATGATTGTGAGCGTGAGATTACGAAGAACCCAGGCTGAGATTAAAGTACTAAGAGATTGTTTGGCGCTTGATAGGCACAACACATCCAAATTCCTACCTTGAAGATAAAAAGCTCTCAAATCAATGAATTTGCTCCTGCTGTGTGCTGCAAGCCCAAAAAGAGTTCAGAGGGTTTGCTTCTTCCAATTTAAACAGCAGCCCACTGACATTTTCAAGTGGAAGCTTAGTAACCATTTTTTTCTTAGTCTCACCAATTTTTTCTGTTAAAAATATACTGTAGCAGGAAAGCAGAAAAGGGCATGGGTTGGTCAACAAACTTCAGACTCTAGTACTGCCTTGTACATCTAGGCATAGGTCAATCACCACAGAACTTAATTTCAAAGAAGGAAGTAGCATATAAAACATTCACTTCAAAATGAAAAAAGAAAATAAACAGTACAGAAGTTACTTATAGTCAAGACTTGTATTAAAGACTACATTGACAGAACTGGTCTGGTTACTATTAGCACTACTATATACATTAATTCATAATGTCCCATCATTAAACAACTTTTGAAAAAAGGATTCAAAGATACAAAAATTATTTTCCATGCTAATTGTGAATAGAAGTTCACAATTAGTAAAGTTTTGTTTTCAGAAACATATCCTTTATCAATCCTTGCCAATCAATAAACCTAGTGTGTTTCTTCAAAAGATAAAGTAAATCACTTTAAATGAGTTTTATTGCATTGGGAAAATAACTAACTTAAATAAATAATTGCTTCAGCGAAGGAGACAGGAAATTGTGAAAGAAAAGTAAAATACTGAAGTGCTTTAGATGTGACTAAAACAAAACACGTTATTCTGAGACAAATATTTTTGTACTTCATGATTAATTAGTAGTACTATTTGATAAAAAGACTTGTCTGTATTTCATATATGAAAAATAGATTAGGTACTCTCCACTGATTTTTGTGAGCACATGCATGTTCTTAAGAGAGAAATTAAAGCCTCACATATTTTAGTTAATCACACCAACAATATATGTTGTAGCAATTAGGATCAAATGAAATGGGTGATTCATAATGGAGTAAAAAACATGAGGTACCACAGAGCCATTTAAAGCATTTGAAAAGGGTACACCACAAAGCATGTTAGCAAAACACCCCTCAGCAGCAGCATATGTTAGGAGGCTCAGCACAACTTCTTTCCCCAATGGAAGCATTGTTTTTGGATGTACATATATGCAAAGACAATAGATGAAAGTTGTTGCAGCAGCCTCCCAAAGAAACAGCTGTTCTAATGCTTCAAAAAGAGGGGTGCATCATTCACATCAATGCACTTTCTGAAGCATATTTTAAACTGTTTTGCACAGCCCAAATTGCAAAACTGAAACAAAGCCACCTACATCAGTAATAGAATTGATCCTATTAATTATGAATCAAAATGATTCATAAGAAATTGAAGTTAGTTGTCTGATTTCAGTTTAAATAGCCTTCTACAGTCTACTCCTTTAAATATGAAAATTATAATGTTGAGAATGACTCAACCATCTTCATCGTTGATAATTTTGCAAGTTAAGGTGCCAAGACTCACAGGAAGACTGAGCTAAAACTATACTATGTGTTCTACAGTACAGAAAAAACTGTTTTCATTTTGTAAATTTTGGTTACTGATAATCTGATACCAACACTGTGTATGTATATGGTAATACAGAGTAGACAATGGTATCTGAATACATTCCTGAAAATAATTCCAGAGGAAATTAAACAGAATCTTGGGTAAATTAAAAGCTTCAGGTTATTACTGCATAATACTAAAGAGGTAAAGAATATGCATGTCTGGATTGCATTATATAGTAATTCTGAAATTACTAGCATATCAGCGATATAAAAGCCCAGACAAATTGGAAAAAGTTAGATCAATTCATCTTCCAACAAGGTAATTGCACCTACAAAGTAAAGCAAACAACTAAGTTGCTATGAAGCATAGCGTATGTAGCTCAACTCAATGGCAGCTTGCACACATGGTGCTCCAGATGTATATCTGTTCAAGTTAGCCCAGGGCAACTATTCTGATCAATTCTAATGAGATAAAATGCTGCAGGGAAAATGTGCAGAAATGTGTTTACGTCAGACTTTAATTAAACTGTTGTTTGCTTCCCAAGAACCTTAAGAAACACTAATGAGACATGAGTTTCAGCAATTTCCTCATCAAAAGGCAAGACCCTCTGCCTCTCTATGAGCAGCCTGCCCTCCGAGGAACTCCCCTGGTAAATGTCACATGGTACACCAATCACAAAGCCCCACCTGCTAAACAGAACTTGAGTCAACGTATAAGTGAGGCAAAGCTTAAGGATTCACTTGCTCGCAGTGGACATCTGCTTAGCTTTCACAGAGAGCAACACAACATGTTCGTTTTCCTATGAAGTTATAGGGAAATCACAATGGGACAGCAACGCAGATGCAGAATATTTTTGCATCTACTTCACCAGCTTAAATCCCAAATCCATTTCCATTTAATCACAGCTTCATACTTGGTTTAGACTGAGCATTGCAAACAATGCATAGAGAGTCAAAGAACCATAAAGAGAAGGTATCAGAATAGTCCCATTTGCACAATGGATGCAAAGTCAAGGTAACACTGTGCTGAAAACAGGGAGCAGACTAAGATCCAAACTGACCCTGAATATTTTTATTTCATACACATGGATTTCAAATATCATTATGGAAGGAAAAACAAAAACAAAGTTAACACTGCCCGTAGTTCACACAGATCTAACACCATTCAATGGGGTCCTTATGGAACATGGATAGTTCTATCCCCTCATTCTGCCTGTTGTAATTAAGGTCTCTTTTCTAATAGTCTAAAAATGAAGGTAAAAATAAATGTGCTTTCTAAATGCCTTCCCACTCTATATGTGGCCTATTAGAACCTCCTGCTCCCTCAAAATGAAATCAACTCATGAAATCCCAGTAAATGCTCTTTGGTTTTTACACTTCATAACTGTTTTGGATTACGACATCTAGAAAATGTCTTCAAAATATTTCTGTAACTGAGACTGAACTTTAAAAACAAAATAAAAAACCTTGGTTGTGATGATGAA